ACTCAGCCACCAGAACCTACGCTGTAATAATTCTAGAGTCTTATATGCTCCAAAATGACCTGCCAATGGGTGATCATGGCAGTAGCCCAGGACTAAGGTACGGACCTCCTCGGGTACCACAATCTGTCCTTCTTTCCATAAAGACCTTCCTTGTTCTGCAGGGAAACCCCAGGTGGGTTTGGCATTCCTACAGATGCCGTCTGTAACTTGGAACGTAGTTCGGATTGGAGGGTGAGATCATTTCCAGTAGACAGAATGGTGTCTGACTTAGGGACCTCTTCTGGGTCCTCGAACATGCGCGAGAGAGCATCAGGCTTTTTGTTCTTGGATTCAGGTCTATAAGTTATATGGAACACGAATCTTGAGAAGAATAGTGCCCATCTGGCCTGGTGTGGTCTCAGGCGCTTGGCTGTCCTCAAGTATTCTAAGTTCTTGTGGTCTGTGAAAATCAAAATCAGATGCGTAGCCCCTTCTAGCTGGTACCTCCACTCCTCCAGTGCTGTCTTGATTGCCAAGAGTTCTCGATCTCCAATATCATAGTTCCTCTCTGCTGGCGTGAGTTTTCTCGAAAAGAACGCTACTGGGTGCATGAGTTCTTACCCCTTCTCTGGGACAGGACTGCCCCCACTGCATTCTCAGACACATCTACTTCCAATATATAGGGTAAGGAGGAGTCTGGATGGCTTAGAACATGGGGCTATGGTTAATAATCCCTTCAGGGCCTCAAATGCCGCCTGTGCTTCAGGTGTCCACTGGAAGCGAACCCCCTGCTTGGTGAGCTGGGTAATGGGGGACACAAGACCCAAAATGTTCCTAATGAACTTCCTATAGAAGTTAGCGAAGCCAATGAACCGTTGAACACCTTTTTTATCGGTGGGTACTGGCCATTCCAAAATTGCAGAGATTTTCTGGGGGTTCATTGCAACTCCCATAGTGGAGATAATCAGCCCCAAGAAAGCGATGATGTGCTGTTCAATGCTACATTTGTTCACCTTGGCATACAACCCGTGTTGGCGCATCAGTGCCAACACTCTTCGGACATGACTTCTATGTGTTTCCAGGGAGGAGGAGAAGATCAGGATATCATCTAAGTAGATGACAACAAAGATGTCTAGATAATCTCTGAACACGTTGTTTATAAAATGCTGAAATGTGGCTGGAGCATTGCATAGTCCGAAAGGCATGACCAGGTACTCAAAGTGCCCAAACCTAGTGCGAAATGCGGTCTTCCACTCATCCCCCTCCCTTATGCGCACTAAATTATAAGCACCCCTCAAACCTAACTTGGTAAAAACCACTGCCGACTTCAACCTTTGGAATAGCTCGGGAACCAAAGGGAGTGGGTAGCGATTTTTCACCATGATTTTGTTTAACTCCCGATAGTCCACGCAGGGCCTTAAGGATTTGTCCTTCTTTTCTACAAAAAAATTCCAGCTCCGGCTGGTGACGTGGAGGGGCGGATGAAACCCTTTTGGAGGTTTTTATCAATATAATCTTTTAGTACCCCCAGTTCCCGCTCAGATAAAGGGAATATTCGCCTGAAAGGAATCTCAGATCCTGGTAGCAGGTCGATTGGACAGTCATAAGTTCGATGTGGGGGGAGAATGCCTGCCCCTCGTTTACTAAACACATCGAGGTAGCTGTGGTAGGCTGGGGGAATGACCTGGATTAGTTCTGCATCCACGTCTATACATAGGAGGGACTGTGGAACTGAGGAAGCCTGGGAGTAGCAATGCTCCTGGCAGTAGGGAGATTGAAACTGAATAGACCCGGTCTTCCAATTAATCTGGGGATCATGTGCACGCAACCAGGGAAGCCCCAGAATAACTGGAAATAGAGGGGATGCAATGGCATCCAGATGAAGGAATTCCCGATGGTGGCCAGCCACCGTAGTACAGATAGGTGGGTCTCCCGGTCTACCAACCCCGATTTAATGCGTGACCCATCAGCTAGGAAGATATTCAACCCACATTCCCTTGTCTGTAGGGGGATCTTCTGTCGAGTCGCAAAGTCTATGTCTACAAAGCAACTACAAGCTCCTGAATCAATGATTGCCGTCGCTGACACGGTCCTTCCTGGAAGCTGGAAGGAAATAGGCACGGCTAAGTAGTTTGAATTATTAGGATAGGTGGGGGCACAGCAGAAAAAAACAGAGGCACACTTACTCAGTTTTGCTGGGCAGAAACGTATCACATGACCTGCTTCCCCGCAGTAGAGGCAGAGATTGTTAACCCGATGTCTCTGGCATTCCTCAAAGGTTAATGACGGTCGTGTCAATCCTAATTGCATGGGTTCAGGTCTGTCGTCAGTTTCTGGGTTCCAGTTTACAACTGGAGAAGACTGGACTGGAACACGAGGTAGTACCCATGTTGGTCTCTGACCCTGGCTGGACCTCTCGAGTCTACGTTCCCGCAATCTGCGGTCGATCTGGATGGCCAGAGTTATGAGGTTTTCTGTGCCGGTAGGCCCACTCTAGCTAACTCATCCTTGAGTGACTCGGATAAGCCCATGCAGAATTGGTGACGCAGGGCTGCATCATTCCATTGGGTGTCCCCCATCCAGCGTCTGAACTCAGAAGCGTATTCCTCCGCTGCTCGGCGACCCTGTCTGAGTGAATACAGAGCCGTTTCGGCTGATGCTGCCCGCTGCGGATCGTCGTATAATACTGCCATCACGTTAAAAAATGCTGTTACCAACTCCAGATGCGGATCGCGGGTCTCCATTAGCCGGTGGGCCCAACCCTGGGGTTCATCTTGCAGTAGGGAGATAATGAACCCCACTTTCAAAGATTCTGTAGAGAATATCCGCAGCTGCAGATTGAAATATAGTTGGCAAGCATTGCGAAACGCCCTGAATTTTCTTTGATCCCCATTGAAACGTTCTGGCAATGGTACGGGGGGGTCAGGTGGGGGTATCGAGACCACTGCTCTGGCAGGAGGTTCCGAGGTGTTGCCGGCCCGAAGATGGAGTAAGCGGATTCTGAGATATAGATGCTGGTGAAGCTAGCACCTGGATATGACTTTCCAGGTGTGTGTAACCCTCCTGTAGTGTTTTGACAGCTTGGGTAAGCGCCGACAGATGTTGGCATATATCATCCAGTGGGGACGGTCCTCTTCCAGGCTCAGCCATGGCCATATGGTTCTGTCATGAACCGCCTGATGGTATCTCTAGCGATCCACAGGACAGAATTCCCCAGGGCGCGGTGTCTAAGTCCCAGTCTGCTTGTTCACCAGGGCCCCTGATGGTGGAGATGGACTTGGAGCAGACAGTGACCAGGTCGCGGACCCTGAGTGCACCCGCCTGTGGTAGAGGGAACTGCCAGAGGTATGTACTGGAAGAGAGCCTGATGTGAAGAGGCGGATATACCTGAGCAGTGACCAGATCCGTGCCGGATGGATGGATGGCAGTGTAGTGTAGTGTAGTCAGACGGTAACAGTGGAGACAGTTCCATGGTCTGTACACCTGCTGTGCTCTTTATGAAGGATTCCTGGTATAATAGTTCTAGCTGAGCTCAGCCTTGTATCCATGCATTGATCTTGTTCACCCTGCTTATATTTTGTAATTGTTAGCTTGGGTAATGGCCCTCATGGTGCTCAGCTGGGCTGCCTTGTACAATAGATTAGTCTATACAGATATAGCATCATTCTCTTTGTATACCATCTCTAGCCATGTCCAGCCTTGTCTCCTATGTATACCATCCTCTGATGATACATCATTTGTCTTCTTACAGTTGGCAGTCATGCTCACATGTAATCTATGTGTTTTTGGTTTACAGATGGGACCTACATAAGAGACTTTGTGTCTCTAAAATCCTTGGTTACACCACTTGGACATTCATTTATTTCTGAAGAAGTGATATTGAAGATTGGTCCCAATGTGAGCGTTGTGCTCCAAGATGTCCAGGTTCAGGCCTTTACACTGGAAGGGGATCATTTCACAAATGGTAAGCCACTCTAGGATAATAATATTGACTCTCGTTATGTAGCATTTTACCTGCACCTTTACCTCATGGGGATCTGATCTCACCATTGCAGACAGGATCACCAAACTCTGCAGAATCATCTCATCCAGTTGTTTCTTACATTTTCCTTTATTTTATTAACATCTTTGTTTTTCATTCATCTTCCTATGTCAGGGGCACAGCATTTTCTGATACAGAGGTCATGTCTCGGCTCCCTCACCTTCCCCTAACCTTCTCCCCTTTACTGTCTACACCATCCAGAGGAAACCTGGAACAAGGGGCATTAATGGCCTTTCTTTTTCATATTCTTCTTGCCAGGCTGACCCTCCTCCACAGACCCTGAACAGTTTGCAGATCAGGACTTTTGACCTTGCTCTATTTAAACTCGGCGGCATGTTTGTTCTAAGTCAGTGTTGGAGGAAATCTGAAGGTCTGAACTAGTATAAGACAATTAACATTTTCAGTAAATCAACCGTGACATCCAATGTATTTCAGCTTGAAGTGGACATGAGAAGGAAAGCTGAAGTATAACAATTTGTCCTCCTCCTCCTCTGATCCTCTGAGATATAAACCCCTCTAGATAAGGAATAGAAGTTGTTGGGGTAGCCAATCAGAGTATAGCAATGAACAGTAAACTGACAATTTAAATAGGCAGGAGATGAACATGTCTGCTTAAAGTGGCTTTAAAGGTCCCAGATTTTTACCTTCATGCATTCTATGCATGAAGGTAAAAAACCTTCTGTGTGCAGCATCCCCCCTAATACTTACCTGAGCCCCATTGCAATCCAGCAACTGTGCACAAGAGAATCGGCTTCCAGGGGACTCTCCCTCCTCAGCTGGGAAAGCCGTTGGCTCCCGCTGCTGTCAATCACAGCCATTGAGCCAGTGAGGAGAGAGGGACAAGGTGCAGGGCCAAAAGTTGTAAAGTCTACTAAATATGGAATATATATTTTGAAATGCATTACCCCTGATGTTCTGACTGCATATCTAATTTCTTGAGGGCTTAAAGTGTTACACAACAGTAAAATAATCTATTTATGCAGTAAAGCATGCTTGTTATACTCACTGTGGAACCTAAGGGGTTAATCCTCTGCATTGTGTAAATATGCTGTTTGATCCTGTCTTCTCTGATCCTCCCCTTCTTCCAGTGCCCCCTCTTATCTCCTGATAAGACATATTATGTGAAGTCACTCTGCACAAGCTCAGTTTGGTGTGTATTGCTAAAATGTTTTTTTTCTTGGGAGAGTGCATGTGATCAACACAGGGATAAGTCAGCACTGTCCAGACAGAGGTTAGGAGTCCTGCATACTTCTAGAGCAGAGAGAAAACTCCTCCTACAGGCTTTAACAAGTGCTCTGCTGGGCACTGATAGAAGCCACAAGACTGCTCTAACTGCTGATGAGAAAAGGTATTTAGCAGTTTAGATTTACTAAAATAAAAGCATTTCCATGTTGTGTGTACTGTGGGAGACCAGATATAGTGAATGCAGGGTCCTGGGTTTAGCAACACTTTAAAGCGGTTCTCCAGCCTCTCATTTTTATATATATACTATAAATATTTTATTTTATAAATATTTTATTTATAAGTACCAGGGACAGACTGAATATCTGCAAATGGTAAAGGGATTGGACTGCTGAGGACTGGGGTAAAGTCATTTTCTCTGATGAATCTCCTTTCCATTTGTTTGGGACATCAGGAAAAAACCTTGTCCAGGGCAGAAACAGTGAGCAATACCATCAGTCCTGTGTCATGCCAACAGTAAAGCATCCTGAGATCATGAATGTGTGGGGTAGCTTCTCGAACAAGGGAGTGGGCTCACTCACAAGAACACAGCCATGAATAAAAAATGGTACAAAAACCTCCTCCAAGAGCAACTTCTCGCAACCATCTTAGAACAGTTTTGTGATGAACAATGCCTATTCCAGCATGATGGAGAGCATTGCCATAGGGCAAAAGTGATAACTAAGTGGCTTGTGGACCAAAACATTAAAATGTTGGGTCCCTGGCCAGGAAACTCCCCAGACCTTAATCCCATTGAGAACATGTAGTCAATCCTCAAGAAGCGGATAAACAAAAAAATTCCCATAAATCCTGACAAACTCCAAGCATTGATTATAACCAATGGGCTGCCATCAGTCAGGATGTGCTCCAGAAGTTGATGGACAGCATTCCAGGGAGACTTGCAGATGTCTTGATAACACTGCAAATAATGACTCTTTGCATAAACTTCATGTAATTGTCAATAAAAGCCTTTGACACCTATGAAATGCTTGTAATTATACTTCAGTATATCAGAGCAACATCAGACAAAAAGATCTAAAACCATTGAGGCAGCAGATTTTGTGAAAGTTAATATTTGTGTCATTCTCAAAACTTTTGGCCAGGGCTGTATTCAGGGGATGGCTGGGACTGGTGCCTCACAGAAACATAGTCAGTGGAACACACTGATGGATTAGTTCAGGTGACAGGCAAAGATGTCCTCAGCAAACTGGCAAAGTATTGGCTAAGGCAGAAATGTATTCAATAAACAGAGAAGGATCAGTTCAGGTGGCAGGCAGAGGCAACACTGCAATGGTGTGGCAGTGATCAGGAACATTGTTGTTGGCTGCACTGGTTTGGTGACACTGGCACTGGTGTGGCAACAATCGGAGACACTGTTTCTGGCTGCATTGGCTCTGGTGACCTTTATGATTTGGATTTAAAGGGAAACTTCACACAAAAATCAAAAAGAAAAGCATGGGTCCCCTGAAATATCCATACCAGACCCCGATGTGAATGAGTAAGGGGTACATAGCACCGCTACTCCTTCACATAAAAACAGCAAACAATAAAAAAAACCACACACACCATTTTTGACAAGTTATTTAAGTAAGGAAAAATAAAACTAGAATTGAATAGAAAATACAGATGCAAAACACCTCATAGTGTAGTATTAAACCACTGTGAATGTACCAATAAAAGGTTAAAAAATGCACCCACAAAAGTGGAAGGTCATGTTGGCATGTACATAATATAAACCCGGAAATTTTCATGGATGGATGGATGACACAGATCCCAGTGTCCTTAGGGTATTGGTTATTGAGCCTGGCATCCCTTTCTGAGGGTGAACGGTTTAAGACCCTTGGGGCCAGAGAGAAATTTTGGATCTTTAAACTGGATACTGTACCCTATCAGTTTGCATGAAGAACTAGATGTAAAAAACATTGTATAATTGTTGGGTCTTATTAATCTCCATGGCCAATGTTTTTATGAATAGCCAATTTTGTTTCCCCTCCTTCTTTCCCCACCTTTTTGCGTACTACACCTCTAGACATCCATCTGAGAATTTATATATTATATATCCTTATTGGAGTATGCACATACAGTGTGTGTATGCTTGTTTATATACATTATATTGCCCCAAGTACTGGGCCGCATGCCTTTTCACGCACATGAATTTTAATGGCATCTCAGTCTTAGTCCGTAGGGTTCAATATTGGGTTGGCCCTGCCCTTTGCAGCTATAACAGCTTCAACTCTTCTGGGAAGGCCGTCCACAATATTTAGGAGGGTGTCTATGGGAAGGTTGGACCATTCTTCCAGAAGAACATTTGTCAGGTCAGGCACTGATGTCGGGGGAGGAGGCCTGGCTCACAGTCTCCGCTCTAATTCATCTCAAAGGTGTCCTTTCGGGTTGAGGTCAGGACTTTGTGCAGGTCAGTCAAGTTCCTCCACCCCAAACTCGCTCATCCGTCGTTGTGGACCTTGCTTTGTACACTGGTGTACAGTCATGTTGGAACAGGAAGGGGCCATCCACAAACTCTTCCCACAAAGCTGAGAGCATGAAATTGTCCAAAATGTCTTGGTATGCTAACGCCTTAAGAGTTCCCTTCACTGGAACTAAGGGGCCAAACCCAACCCCTGAAAAACAACCCAACACCATAATGCCCCCTCCACCAAACTTTACACGTTCAGTCAAGCAAGTACCATTCTGGCAACCGCAAAACCCAGACACGTCCATCGGAGGATTTCCAGACAGAGAAGTGTGATTGGTCACTCCAGAGAACATGTCTCCACTGCTCTAGTGTCCAGTGGCGGTGTGATTTACACCACGGCATTTGCCGTTTTGCATTGCACTTAGTGATGTAAGTCTTGAATGCAGCTGTTCGGCCATGGAAACCCATTCCATGAAGCTCTCGACATGCTATTGTTGTGCTAATCTGAAGGCCACACCAAGTTTGGAGGTCTTTAGCTATTGACTCTGCAGATAGTTGGTGACTTCTGCGCACTGTGCGCTTCAGCATGCGCTGACCCCACCCTGTCATGTGACGTGGCCTACCAATTGGTGGCTGAGTTGTTATTGTTCCCAGTTGCTTCCACTTTGTTATAATCCCACTAACAGTAGAGCGTGGAATATTTGGTAGCCAGGAAATGTCACGGATGGACTTATTGCACAGGTGGCCACCTATCACGGGACCACGCTTGGAGTCACTGAGCTCCTGAGAGCGACCCATTCTTTCACCAAAGTTTGTAGAAGCAGTCTGCAAGCCTAGTGGCTTGATTGTATACATCTGTGTCCATGGAGGGGATTGGAACACCTGAATCACATGATTTAAAGGGTTGGCCCAATACTTTTTGCAATATAGTGTATTTGTACTATATATACGTACACTCACCGGGCCACTTTATTAGGTACACCTGTTCAATTGCTTGCTAACACAAATTGATAACACTGTTCAACAGGTAAAAAGTTTTGGGCATAAAATTAGCTAATCTTACATAATTTTGGGGTGCTGAAAACGAAAATGACCCTAAAAAATGTTGATTGGCTCTAGTTTCCATGATATATTCACCCATCTAATGACGTAAGCCATTCAAAATTATGATGCAACTTCAGCTGCATATTGCGCAATTGATACTGGTGACCAATAGAAAATTGCATGTATACTGAGATGATGCAATATTAGCCTAATTGCATCACTTCACTGCATAAAAGCTGCAGTATCTGTAGCTGATTGTAGTTCGACAGCGTCTTTACATTTCGTTTTATGCTTATATAGGCTACTCAGTAATGCCTCGAACTTGTGTGAATAAAGCAGATAATTTCTTCTATATCTGCGGTGAAATAACTTTTATCTCACAAAAAAAGGAGGATAACAGGAATGATTAAGAAAGCCTACAACTTGTATTTTGGCTGCAAGATAGGAGACCAGGACAAGAGCTGGGCACCACATACAGTTGCAAGAAAAAGTATGTGAACCCCTTTGGATTACGTGGAGTTTTGCATGAATTGGGCATAAAATGTGCTCTGAACGTCATCTAAGTCACAACAATAGAAGAACACAGTCTGCTGAACATAATACTACACAAACATTAGATGTTGCCATGGTTTAATTGCACATAACATGTAAACATTCACAGTGCAGGGAGGAAAAAGTATGTGAACCTTTGGACTTAATAACTGGTTGACCCTCCTTTGGCAGCAATAACCTCAACCAAACGTTTCCTGTAGTTGCAGATCAGACCTGCACAACGATCTGGAGTAATTTTGGACCACTCCTCTTCACAAAACTGTTTCAGTGTAGCAATATTCTTGGGATGTTTGGTGTGAATCGCTCTCTTTAGGTCATGCCACAGCATTTCAATCGGGTTGAGGTCAGGACTCTGACTGGGCCACTCCAGAAGGCGTATTCTGTGCTGTTGCAGCCATTGTTTTGTTGAATTACTTGTATGCTTTGGGTCATTGTCCTGTTGCATCACCCATCCTCTGCAGAGCTTCAGTTGGTGGACAGATGGTCGTATGTTTTCCTGCAAAATGTCTTGATACACTCTGGATTTCATTTTCCCATCAATGACAACAATCCATCCAGGCCCTGAGGCAGCAAAGCAGCCCCAAACCATGATGCTCCCTCCGCCATGTTTTACAGTGGGGATGAGGTTTTGATGTTGGTGTGCTGTGCCTTTTTTTCTCCACACATAGTGTTGTGTGTCCTTCCCAAACAACTCAATCTTGGTTTCATCTGTCCACAGTATATTTTGCCAGTAGTGCTGTGGAACATCCAGGTGCTCTTTTGCAAACTTCAAACGTGCTGCAATATTCTTTTTGGACAGCAATGGCTTCCTCCGTGGTGTTCTCCCATGTACTTCATTCTTGTTTAATGTTTTCCTTATTGTAGATGTGTCAACAAAAATGTTAGCATGTGCCAGAGATTTCTGTAGGTCTTTAGCTGACACTCTGGGATTCTTCTTTCCCTCATGCAGCATTCTGCGCTG